GAGGGCAGGGAAAGGCCCAAAAAAGAGGCAGGCTACTCCTGCATCTTGAAAGAGTTGGTAATGAATGGAGTTTATTTAAGGGAACTTACATATGAGGCAGCTGCAAGACAAAATGAATCCCTGTGCCACTTGGCATGTGCCGAAGAATGATATAGGACAAAAGGAATAGTCCCAAGTACTAATCCATGAATGCTCCCAGGTACAGGAAATTGCTTTAATGCTTGACCAGGTCAACAACCTGTTCCAAGGAGCAGCACATAGCAGGAGACAATTCCTTCTGGTTTATGTAAGAAGGAATACCAAGTACAATCCGAAGGTCTCTAAGGGGGTGTTGCACAAAGCATCTTCCATTCTGACCATTCCAACATGCAGGACACAGCAGTCACAGAATAGTCTCTTCTCCATCTTCCCACCCTAAGGCCTAATGCTATTCGTCAAATTTTCATTAAGTGATAACCTTATATTTAGTGCAGTGCTTCAAGTTGTGGAAAATCCTTGTCCTCAGGGAACTTCTGTTCCAATGGGAGAAACTGGCCTTAAAACAAACATTAGTAATGCAGGAGCAAATTGGAGAGTCCTACAAGATGATGAAAATAAAACTCACTTTACTTTTCTTTTCTTTTCTTTTCTTTAAATATATTTTATTGATTTTCCACAGAGAGGAAGGGAGAGGGATAGAAAGATAGAAATGTCGATGAGAGAGAAACATTGACCAGCTGCCTCCTGCACATCCTCTATCGGGGATGTGCCTGCAACCAATGTACATGCCCCTAACCGGAATCGAACCTGGGACCCTTCAGTCCGCAGACCGACGTTCTACCACTGAGCCAAACCGGCTTCGGCAAAACTCACTTTTCTTAATGTTAGACCACTGCAGAAATCAGTTGGGACAAACTGGACGTGGAGCAGATATAAGGCCAAAATAGAGTTGAGTGGGGGAGGGGTGGTAGGAAGGGAGGACAAAGATGTGCTCCCAGTTGTGTTGGAGGACTGACATAATAGAGCTGTTATTGTTCTCTTTCAAATAACATGGCTTTCCCAAATTCAATTTTAGTTCACAAGTAAGTATTTTTCTTTTGAGAAGGGAGGGAATAGGCAAACTTCAAGTCCAGAAGATTTGGGTCTCTCCTCTGAGTCTGGCTGGGCATGAGACACATTCAAAACTCATGTTCAGATTCTAAAAATAAAAATCCTTTGACTTAGTTCAAAACTCTCCTTTATCTGTGGTTTTGTTGTAGAAATCTTGTGGGACCAGCTACTGTCACTTCTTGTTGGCTGCAAGTTTTTAAAATTAATTTGTGGTTAAGCTGTCAAATGATTAACTGCTAATTATAGGGATTTTCCTTTCATTTATTTAACAGTAGCAACATATTTGTTGAACAGAAAGCTTTACAACAAGAGTAAATATAGTAATTTAACAAGAGGTATCACTACAAACTAACACACCCACTGTTTCATTTTTAAAAAATAAATCTTTATTGTTCAGATTATTACAAATGTTCCTCTTTCCCTCCCCCCACCCCCAATTGCTCCCCTCCACCAGGTTCCCACCCCACCCTCTGCCCTTTCCCCATCCCCCATTGTCCTCATCCATAAGTGCACAGTTTTTGTTCAGGCTCTTCCCGCACCCCCACTCCCCTTTCCCCCAAGAATCCTCAGTCCACTCCCCTTCCATACCTCTGATTCTATTATATTCACCAGTTAATATTGTTCATCAGGTTTTTTTAATTCCCTTGGCTTTTAGTTTCACTTGTTGATAGTTACGTATTTGTTGATCATAATTTTTATCTTTATCTTCTTCCTCTTCCTAAAGAACCTCCTTCAGCAATTCATATAATTCTGGTTTGGCGGTCCTTTAGCTTCTTTTTATTTGTGAAGCTCTTTATCTGGCCTTCGATTCTGAGTGATAGCTTTGCTGGGTAGAGTATTTTTGGCTATAGGTTCTTGCTATTCATCACCTTGAATATTTCTTGTCATTCCCGTCTGGCCTGCATGGTTTCTGTTGAAAAATCAGCTGACAATCGTATGGATGCTCCTTTATAGGTAACTACCTGCTTGCTGCTTTTACTATTCTCTCTTTGTCTTTTGCTCTTGGAATTTTAATTATGATGTGTCTTGGTGTGGTCCTATTTGGGTTCTTTTTGTTTGGGGTTCTGTGCACTTCCTGGACTTGTAAGTCAATTTCTTTCACAATGTGGGGGAAGTTTTCTGTCACTATTACTTCCAGTATGTTTTCAGTATCTTGCTTTCTCTCTTCTTCTGGGACCCCCATAATTCTGATGTTGTTTCATTTGAAATTGTCCCAGAGGTTTCTTACACTATCTTCAACTTTCTGGATTCTCTTATCTTCTTGCTTCTGTGGAGGAGTGTCCTCTGACTCTTTGTGTTCCAAATCTTTGACTTGATTCTTGTGATCTTCTATTCTGTTTTTAGGACTCTATAATATTTTTTATTTCAGACAATGTATTCTTTATTTCTAGTTGATCCCTTTTCATATCCTCATAGGTCTTGTTTATTTTATCGGCCTTTTCTAGGAAATTCTTGAAAAACCTTATAAGCGTGGTTTTGAACTCTATATTCAGTCGCTTTTTGTCCTCCATTTCTTTTGTTTGTGATCTGTTTCCTTGTTTCGGCATTTTCACAGCTTCCCTGAGTTGGTAGGGTGGCTTTGTGTGCTAAGGTGTCCTATATGGTTCAGTGAGTCAGCCTCCCAGTTACCTGAGGTGCAGTCTTGTTGTTAAGCCTTGCTTGTTGTTGGTATCACTGAGAAGCGTTGATCCCCAAGATAATTGGCTATGAGGATCAGAAGTGTCTCAGCTAGGAGGATTTCTGTATTCAGCTTGAATGGGGCAAAGTCTCAGGTTGGCACAGCCAAGCTTTGGTGAATACCACACAATTGGTTGTACCTCTTTGGTATAGGCACAGACAAGCTTTGGATTCCTGTCTGTCCCTCCCTAGGAGAGTCCTATTCGTGGCTAACAAGAAAGCTAGCCACTGGTAGGGCTTCTGTGCTCCACTTGGATGGGGCGGAGTCTCAGGGTGGTGCAGACAAGCTTTGTCAGCCCCTCCCTATGAGGGTCTGATTTCTGAGTTCTGCAGTAATGGCCGCTGGCTTCACACACCTCTGAGAGATCCCTGCCCACTGCCTGACAGTCTGGCCTCTCCCTGTCTGGGGCCGTCTATCAGAGCAATAGGGCAATTTTGTTTTCCTCCCGAACAAAAAAGCCAGCCTCGCATTAGCTGTTGGCCCTCTCCGTGTGCAGGGAGTAAGCCAGCAGCGAACTCGGCTGCCCTCTCCACACTTTGCAAGCAAGCCAGCAGGGAAGTCTGGTGGCTGCCTTTTCTCGTGCACAGTTCTCCTCACCTTCACAGTTCCTGAGACTCAGCTCACCTTCTCTCTCCTTCCCAGATGGTAGAGCCTTCTCTCAGCCAGACGTCCGGCTCTTCAGGACGATGTTTCCCCTGTTCTAAATTCAAATTTGTTGTGGTAGGCTGCATTCAGGTGTCTACCCTATGCTGCCATCTTGGTTTCTCACTGTTTTCATTTTTCTTGTTTTCTCCTAGTTAATATGTCCATGCATATGTATTTTTACCTAATTACAACCATTCTGTTGATACTATCATATAATTTGATTTTATCCTTTATTTTATATTACAAACATTTTTCATGTTTCCATAGATCATATGACTATTATTTAATGGCTGTATAATATTCTACACAATGAATGTTCCATTATTTGAGTTAGCTATTTCTCTGTTGTTTACCTTTGAGATTGTCATCCACCTCTCACTATCATTCAGCTCATTGACTTAGGTGCAATTGTCACTAGACCTAAACATGTCTTTTGGGTAATTGTGGTAATTGTGTTTTGGAAGATGAAATAAAGAAGCAGCTTTAGCTACACGGTGTCTACCAGATAAAAAGATGGTGCCCAGTCTTTATAAGGCCATGTGTAGATGGTTGGTAGATAATAATTATTCCTATGACAGGATGGACATATCACCAATAATTTGTAACTAAGGTAACAATGACATTCATTTTCAAGATTAATGACCAAAAGAATTAGAAATACTACATGATGCCACTTCTAGCTTCCTCTTTCCTGTCCCCTTATGGCAGAACTCATAAATGGGGACAACACTGGTAGTACTTACTGCATTAGGCTACTAATTCTCTCTCTCTCTCTCTCTCTCTCTCTCTCTCTCTCTCTCTCTCTATATATATATATATATATATATATATATATATATATATATATATATATATATAATCTGTTTTTCACAGAGAGGAAGAGAGAGGGATAGAGAGTTAGAAACATCAATCAGCTGCCTCCTGCACACCACCCACTGGGGATGTGCTTGCAAGCCACATACATGCCCTTGACCTGATGAGTTGAACCTGGAACCCTTGAGTCAGCAGGCCCATGCTCTATCCACTGAGCCAAACCGGTTTCAGCCTAATTAGCATCTCTTAATTGGCTTCTAAGCATCAGTGCTGAGGCCAAGAGGAATGTACTGTTTGTTCTCCAGGCAGAGGGAAGAAGGACTGCTGTTGTCTTTAGTCCAGCAGGTGGGGGGCGGCGGGAATTGTAACAGGTGGGCAGGTGCGGAGTGGGGGGAGGAGGTGGAGCAGAGCTATCTACAGCAGATGAGGGAGGTGGGCTAGGGTGGTCAGTCTGGCCCTTCCGGTATCCTCCTGCAGAAAAGAAGCGAGTCCATAAAGAAGCATTTCACACTTTGCAGGAAACGAAGAGTTTGGGGTTGGGGGTGTCAGGGGCGCTGGAAGGAGAAGGCTGCGAAGAAGTCAAGGGAAGGAGTCGGGGTGAGCTCCCGGGGTCCAAGAGTTAGGGGGCCGGACTGAAAGCAGACGGGGTGGGCGAGTTGCGCTCGCTGCTGGACGCCCCTGGACGACCGGGAGGCGCGGGGCGGGCCGGGGGCGGGGCGGTGGCGGGGCTGAGGCTGGCCCAGAGCGTGGAGGCAGGGCCGCGCCCGGGCTGCAGAGTGTGGGCGCTGTCCCCTGGGCGTCTGCAGCGGGATCCCGCGCAGCTCCCTGCACAATCCCAAGTCCCACGGCGAGTGCTGCCATGCTCCTGCTGCTGGCGCTGTGCTGGGGGCTGCCGCTCTGTGCGGGGGCGCCGGGAGAGGCGCAGAACTGGGGTGACACTTCGGAGCAAGTAAGTGGCAATCTGGGGGGACCCAGGGAGGGCCCTGGATGCTGGTTGTTGTCCCTTCCCCACTGCCTTCTTTGGGCGCGTGGCCTCTGGACAGGCTCCTTTGAACCAGTCCTGGGCGCCACGAAGGGAGGGACCACCCCATATCCTGGCACATTGTCCCCCTTTTCTTCTTCGTCCCCCAACCTCCTGCGAGGGAGCTTCTCTATCCCTTGGTGACTTGAGCAAGAGCCTGGACGGGGAAGTTTCCTGCAGAACTGTGCCTGGGACTTCAGGGGCCTGCAGAACCAAATCTTCGTGGCTCCTGTTATATGCGCACATTTCTGCTAGGTTTTTTTGTTGCCATTTCTGAGCCTGAGTCCTAAGTTAATTAATTACAAGGATCTTCTTTAAGAGGCTCTTTGGGGGTAGTGTGGCTGTTACGGTTGCTCCTAGTTGTTCAGAGAGAAAGCCCAACCTAGGGAAAATTCCAAAATCCCTGATGCCTCTTAGTTTCCACTGTGAAAACCGGGAGGACAGACATCCCAGCTCCCAGCAGGTGGCCGGGGACCAGCAGCCAAAGGGTCTCAGGTCTCCTGGTTACTATTCTGTGCACCTGCCAGCGTTTGCGTTTAAATGGCCTACCCTCACAGGTGGATGCAACTTGCAAGCATGAAACCTCAATATAGTGACTGATGAACAGAAAAGCTTTTTGAAAAAATAGAAAACAAGTTCATACGACTATCAGTGTAAAGACCTTACAAGGAGAAATGGCACCGTCCTAAGCAGACAGTGCATATTTACAGCTCCTGGTGCCGTTCACACATCTATCACATAAAGTTTTAAGTTGTTTCGTGTGAAGCATGTTTTCACATGAAGTGAGAAAGAAATAGTAGGCATGTTTCTCTCCCCCCCTCCCCCTCTTCTAACACCTTGGTTTACAGAGCAGATCCAGATGGAATCTGCCTAAACATCAGATGATTACGTTCTTGGGGACTCTGCCTCATGGATGTGCTTCCTGAAAAGTGGAAGAAACGGTCATTCTCTTGTAGGGTTGTCAGGAGAAATAACCCATAAAAATTCCTGGAGTCCGTGCATGGAGTGGGGAAACTGCAGGCTGAGGTTCCAGAGGGAAAGGCTGGTCTTGGCCATTTATAGTTGTGTGGCCTGAACAAGTGGTTAATTCCCTGCCTCTTCTTTCCTTCCTGCTGCTCACAGAGGGGCATAGATCTCCTTTTGAGAATACTCCAAAATATTCAGCTGCTGATCTGTGTGAAAGTATACAGTGGGCACTTAATAAATGGTGATGTTTTAGTAAGTGGTTAAGGAAGTGGGCTTGGCTCCAGGCTGCTTGGACTTGATTCCTGATTCTGTCACTTACCAGCTCTAGGACACTACTTGGGGCCTCAATTTCCAGTTCTGTGAAGTGTAGGAAAGAACAGGGTGGTAAGGATTGAATAGCTGGTAGACTTAAAGTGCTTGGAATAATGTCAGAACTTAATGCTGGCACTGGCTGGTAGGCTTGGGCAGCTGAAGTGCTGAAGAAAGGAATTTAGGGTAAAGATCTTAACATGTTTTCTGGGAGGATGGAGGAAGGAGAGTGTGGGAAGAACTGAAACAAAGATTCTGTTTATGAACTGGGAGAAGGGATTAAAGCTCTAACATCTGCAAGTCCAAGTAGGCTTTTACCACTCTCAACTCTCCGGCACAACAGAACATGGGCTTAGTGATTTTATGCTGTCTTCAAGCCATGGTCCTATTCATTCATCTTGATAATGACTCAGAAAACACACACCAAGATATAGGGACCTGTAGAAATTAGCAATTTTACCTCTCTATCACTGCTCTACTAAAATATTTATTTGATATTTATTTATTGTTATATAGGATTTAGGAGGATGGGCTCCAGAATCAGACTTTCTGAGTGTTAACATCTGAGCTTTGATTTCCCCATCTCTAGAATGTGGCTGATGAAGTGTGGCTGATGATGATAGAATTAATAGTATACTTAAAACTGAGAACAATACCTACAAACGTAGTGTGTGCTCTGTTCTCAGAATTGTGGTCTTCTCAACTATATGTAAATTCAAATTCCCACCCGCTCCCCACCCACTGGACTAAATTCAATTTGTCTTATGTAACTGGATGTTAAACGGCATTGCCTTGCAATTTCTAAGAAGTTCTCTTATTTGTCATTTACATTTAATTGGAGGTATAGTAACACTTTGGATTCAGATTCTTTCTCACTTTCCCTCTACCTCATCTGTAAACAATATCACCCACAGTAGGAATACTGTGAGCAGTGTTTTTCAAACGTTGGTGTGCAAAAAGACACTCTATTCACATTTCTGAGAGCCCCACTCCAATCAGTTTAGATCCCTTAGGTTTGATGCTGGTGATCTGTGGACCACACCTAGAATAATGCTGCTTTCAGGAATGAATGTTAAAGTAGAAGTCTCTTGTATAAAATCAGCCTGCTACAAATTTATCTGTTTTGTAAGTTTCAAATTGATATAGTTTCTTTAAATAAGAATAGCACTATATTCCTGTTATTACAAAAGCAATTTTTAATTTATAAAATAATAATTAATTATTAAAGGTCCATACTCTCCCAGAAAGTTTGCTAGGAGCTCTATGTAAAAATAATAAAAAGCAATTAAATATATGATTAAAGAGCATTCCAAGTGGAGCCAGACTGCCTGTGCTCCATTCTGTATTGGCTGTGTGTTCTTGGGCAAGAAACTTAAGCTCTCTGAGACTCAGTTTCATCATCTGCAAGCCAGAATTGTTAATATTTTTTACCCATAGACAGGGGTAGATAAAAGTTTTGAGAGAGGAGTAAAGTTTACACAATTTGCAGGGCCCTCTTAAAGCAAAGAATATAAATGCATGACTACAAATTAGGTGCTAAAGTGAACGTTTATTTAGGATGTTAAGTAAGTCACAGCACATGGTACAGCTGACAAGCTGACAAACACCACAAGTTTCCCTCACTGATGAGGGACTATGCCTGTGAGGGATCCTGAAACTTATTATATTTTATTAGCTTTTAAATAACATATTAAATATAAATAGTAAACCCACTTCTGCTCTTATGACTGTTGTGAGGATTAAATGAATTAATTCAGGCAAAGCACTTGTCTTTAGTCATAGTCACTGTTTTTGCACTTTAAAAAATATATATATTTTATTGATTTTGTACAGAGAGGAAGGGAGAGAGTTAGAAACATCAATGAGAGATAGACATCGATCAGCTGCCTCTTGCACACCTCCTACTGGGGATATGCCCGCAACCAAGGTACATGCCCTTGACCGGAGTCAAACCCGGGACCTTTCAGTCCCCAAGCCAACGCTCAATCCATTGAGCCAAACTGGTCTTGGCTGTTTTTGCACTTATCTACAGCCTGATTAAGCACTGCAGGGAGAGTGTCAGTGTGCTACTTAACCAGGGGAAGCATGGAAATCCAGCCAGAGGAGTGACATCCCAAGTTCCTGTGTGCACAGAGGGAGCAGAGCACAGGTGTGCCGATACCAAAGGCAGCTCTCAGTGACTCCTCCAAAGAGCAAGCCACTTTCATTGACAAGCTCCTGTAACTTGTTTCAATGCAATTTTTACTTATAGTCAGTCGCTGGCAAATAGATAGTGTTTAATATATGCTTGTGGGACCATATTGATTGGGGTGAAACATTTCTAATTCCTTAAATTAAGAATTTCTGGAGTTTTAATTTTTCATAATCTCTCTCTCAGAACTAAACCTCTTTGCATTTTGGGGAAACACAGAAAATAAAATGACTGTTTTTTTTGTTTTTGTTTTTGTTTTTTAAAACTCTGAAAATTAAGCCAGTAGAAGATTGTGTCAATTCCAGAGCACTCAGCAATGTCTTCTTTATGTGCATGGGTGGGATTGTTGAAATAAAGTGTAGAGTTGAGTGGGGAAGGTGGACATTGTGGGAGAGATTCCAGAAATCTGCTCACTACCAAACCAGCATATTGTGTTTCTCTGAGGAGGGTGGAAGTGTGTGTGTGGGGGTAGATGTGGGGGAGGGTTGGAGGGCAGAGGTCCTAAGAATCAGGTGATGACTTGTAGTGACTTTTTGTTCCTAACTAGCCCTCTTCTCAGAGCCTAGATCTCAACCACTAAACAGTCTTGCTTACTGTGCATCAGAGTTCCATTGGAGGACCCAGCAAACCCTTTTAAAATATATATGTTTGTATTGATTTTAGAGAGGAAGGGACAGGGAGAAGAGATGGAAACATCAATGATGAGAGAGAATAATGGATCGCCTGCCTCCTGGGATTGAGCCTGCAACTTGGGCATGTGCCCTGACCGGGAATTGAAGTATGACCTCTGGTTCATAGGTTGATGCTCAACCACTGAGCCATGCCAGCACATCCAGCAAACTTGTATTTAAGGAACAGCAGAGTCTATTTAAGTAGATGGGACCAAGAGATGATACTGGAGCTCGCTGAGGAAGGACAGGGATCCCGAACCTCCTGATTACTTTTCTACAAGCAAGGTCCATGTCTCTTGTTTTTCACAGTCAAAAGAAACAATGACTTGCTTAAAGCTAGTTGATTTTTTTTTTTTAATTTGCCTGGAAATTGCAGCCCCAAAATGAAGTTTCTTCTTTCATTACTGAGATTTTAGGCACCCCAAATTGCAAATGCTTAATAACTAAACAACCTGCAGCAACATTTCTCTAAAGCAGTGTTTTCCAAAGTGTGGTATGCGTACCCCCAGGGGTACGGGAAGAGTTTGGTGGGGGTACGTGTACCCCTTGTACTCAGCGTTACAAAAATTATAGAAGGGGTACACATATGTCAAAAGTTTGGGAAACACTGCTCTAAAGGAAGAAAACTTTTGTGTAAGTGATATAAAATTACCCACCTGGGGATCTTCTCAGGCTAACTGTTCTCAGCCCAGGTGGTTGATGGTACCTCCAGTGCCTTTCCAACCTGAAGCCTTTGGCTTTGTGACAGATCCTATAACACTTCTTTGAGGCAACCGAGTCCTGGGTTTCTGGGATTTTTGAATGCCCTCAGATGTTGGGGCTGACTGGTAGATGAATTCTCAGTACAGCACCCTCTAGGAACTCATGACCAGTCACTTGATGGAGTGTGGATGAGCCAAGTGCAGTGTCTCTTGGCTCTGTATGGGACCTAGATTCACAGACCCAGTGAAATGAAGGTGGAAGGCGAGAATCCTGCTTTGATGTCTCCATCAATCCAGGTCTTTAGAGCATCCACCAAAAGGCAATGTACATGCTGTATGTTTTTAGAGTCTCTTTCACCATGGGTAGAATTAGGCTTCTCTGCTCTCCTCTCTTCCCCTGCTCTTTCCCATTTATGGACTTTTCAAGATATTTCTCTTCTCTTCCATTCGTGATACAGCACTGTGATGGATCCTGGGAAAAAATAAATCTCTGTGAATCAACTTACAAACATTTAAGTAGTGCCTGCTATTTTTGACCTAACTAATGATGGTCTAGATGGGGGAGATTGTAAACTCTATATTTACATTCCTTGTGCAAAGAACTCTTCAGCCACTCTTCTATCTCCTGGTAGTGAATGCTACTTGGCCCATATGAGTTGAAGAGACAGTGGCAGTCCTTTGAAACTGACCATTTTTTCACATAGTTCCTGTATTGAACCTGATTCTCTTAAATTCTTCCTTCCCTTTCATCCCACTTCAACAGACATCCTGTACAACTAGTTGTAGCCACACCTTCATCACAAAGTCTCTCATTGTCGCTCAAGAACATAGTACATTCTATTTTCCATTTCTTTTTTTATTAATTTTTTTTTTAAGAGAGAAAGAGGCACAGAGAGGGAAAGAAAGATAGAAATATCCACGCTTGACCAGCTGCCTCCTGCACACCCCCTACTGGGGATCAAGCCTGCAACCCAAGCATGTGGCCTGACCAGGAATCAAATGGGCAACCCCTTTGTGCAAGGGATGATGTTTACCAACTCAGCCACACTGATTGGGTGCAGCTTAATAAATGTGTGGCCTGGCCATTTCCTATTCTAATGCTGGAGAGATAAGTTCAGTTTAGGAAGACCAAAAAATTTTATTTGTGCCAACTCTTAGGTCTATGATTTGGGGTCCCAGGCAGGTTGGGGGAAGCTGTAAGATTGTTCTGCGTAGCAGTCCTTGACATTAAGCTGGAGTCACTTAACACACCACTCCAAGATTCTTCTAATGCAGTAAAAGGGATCAGGAATGCTTTACTGAAAACAATGATGACTACATTGGTGTTTTTTCCACTTTAGTCCTAGCTGGCACCAGGAAACTGCGTATACCGGGAAGCTTTGATTCTGGTTCAATCTGAGTTTAAACTTGGACTGAAGTGAAGCCATAATGACCCCCTGAGATGTCAGATAGTCATCTCAAAAATGAAAAACCAACTTCTCTTATTCTCCTTGAAGCTTGTTTATTTTCTTAAAAAACTTATTTTACAGAGGAGGGAACTTCAAAGAAAATACTTTAGATCAATCAGAGAACTTAATACCTGAGAGAGGTCAGGCTTTCCTTTGGAATCTGGTTCTGTTAAGTGGTCCCTAGACAATTTCACAATTTTAGGATGGGAAGGCCAGAGATGAATCTGCAGAGCTGATAAAGACCTTGCCCAGGATGCTTATTGTGACTTTCCTTAAACAGTTTTTCGTAGCCCATCTCATTTTAGAAATAGAAACCAGTATCCTCCTAGTCAGTGTTTGGTTCTCATTTGGAGTCAGGGCAGATGTCAATCTAAGTCCTATATTATTTCTTTGAATTCCAATTATAATGGTAATTTACAATAGTATATTTTTTGGGGGGGTATTGGAGGGAGGATCAGGGAGAGGATGGGGATTAAAATAGTTTCTGTTATACTTTTAGTTTACAAATAAAAACATATTTTTCTGATTTCTAATAAAAGAAATAAAGGAAGTATTGTAATAATGGCTAATTTGTCAAAAACTGAAGTAACATGGGAAAATTTAAAGGAGAGGAACTCAACCATCCAAAGGTAACACCATTAGCATTTTGGTTCACATTCTACATTTAAACACTTATATTTACAACAATGAGGTCATGTTAGATATAGTGTTTTGTCATTTGATTTAATCACATAAACATGTATCACTAATAAATCCATCAGGATAGTCTAGGCTATACTGTGGTAACAACACCCACATCTCAATGTCTCAGATGACAGATGTTTATTTCTCGTTTATACAACTTGTTCAACTTGGGTTGGCAGGGAAGGAGATATGCACGTTGTGTTCACTCGGGAATTTGGACTTGACCAGCAGCTACCATCTCAATGCTGCTAATTACTGTGCCACAAAGAAAAGACATTTCTGCAGTATTACACATCTGATGTTGAACCCTTGGCACAGAAGTGACGAGTGTTGCTTACATTCATACCTTATTGACCAGAACTTATTCAGATGGCCCTACTGTGCCACAAGGGGACCAGGAAATACAGTACATTTGGCAGAGAGCTAGAGAAATATTTGTTGAACAGCACTGAAGTCCAGTAAAATGAATATTTATTGATGTCAATAAATATAGATCCACACCATTATGTTTAATAGCTGTATTCTACCTAATCTGTGTATCACAAAATATTTAATCAAACCACTTTTTAAGGGTAGTTTAGGGTATTTCCAATTATCAACAATTGTTTGAAAAATTCCAAAGAATTTTCTTGTACATTCGTATGGTAGGAACGTTACAGCCACTGGGAAAACAGTTTGGCAATTTCTTAAAAGTTAAATTTACTACACTACTCAAGAATTCCATTCCTAGTTAAGTATCTGAAGGAAATAAAAACATATACCCAGAGTCAAGGTTTGCATGTGAATTTTCATGCAAGTTCCATATAATAGCCCCAAAGTGAAAATAATCTAAAGTCTATCAACTGATGAGTGGATAAACAAAATGTGGCATATTCATACACTGGATATTATTCAGACACAGAGAAGAATGAAGCATAAACACATGCTACAACATGGAACAATCTTGAAAAGATTATGCTAAATGAAAAAAGCTAGTCATAGTGTATGACTCCACTTATAAGAAATGTCCAGAAGTGCCCATCTACAGAAACAAAAGAGCTTGGTGGTTGCCTAGGACCAGACAGAAGTGCCAGGGTAGGGAGTTGACAGCTGAGGGGTACAGGGTTTGTTTTGGGAAAACAATAATCTTCTAAATTGATCATTGCACAACTCTACAAATATACTAAAACATTGAATTGTGTACTTTAAATCACACCTCATAAAGCTGTTAAAAATAGATATACATAAGACTTAGGCATATTTTTCAAGTGTTGATCTACGTTGGCAACTTGCCTCCAGAAAGGACTATTTATACTCAGAGCAACAATAGTTCACGGTTCAGTTAAACAGTGATTTGCCATGAGTAAAGTTCAACAACCAGGTAGGACTTTTAAATTAGTCCAGAATGGCTGGCTCATTAGTATGAGTTTTGAAAATGAGGATCTTATCATCTTCCCATGCTCCTTCTCTTCATGTGGGAAAGTGTAGCAAATCATCAGGAAAAAAGTGTAGCAAATCATCAGGAAAAAGCAATGAACTTATTTTCAAGCCCAAATTAAGTGAAGCAATACAGATGAACTTTGTGTTCTTGTCATTTCATCCATACTCCTCTAACGGATTTAAGGTCATTCAGAAAACGAGGTAATATACCATCATGGGTTCAGCAGTCAACCAAACCTGGGAGGGGTTAATTCAAGTTCTGGCCTAGAATCTTTCTGATTAAAGATCAAAACCGCTTTTCAGGATAGATAGCCCTTTTGGGGAAGTTCAATTGATTTTAACCTCCTCATGTAACTAATTTGTTTAAGAATGACCTCACAGTCGTATTTCATGACTCTTCTCTTTATAGGTTGGACTCAGGGTCCCGAGGCAACTCCGGCTGTTGCAAAGGCTGGTATGTATATTCATGGTGCATCTTACATCTGTCCCCTCACTGGTTGTGTATTTTGAACCAGGCACTAACTTTGTTTATAGTTCCCCCAAAGCTAATAAAGTTGCTTGAAGACGGATTTTAACATGAAACAGTGTAGCTTTTATAAGATTTTATTTAAGTGGAGTTTTCTTTCCGTTAAGACACCTGATTATTTCAGTAGGATTATAAGGACAAAGTATGACGTTTTTAAGGCCTTCCTAAAAATCACACACACCTAAATTCACCTTTACTTTTTTTTTTTTTATGACATTCTTATACAAAAATAAAGGCCTCCTTGTGAGACAAACAACTAAAGCAAATGAAGAATTCACATTTGTAGAGTAAAGCTTCATGTGATATGAGTTAAGCAAGGCTCTCAATGCATATTGGAAGCTAACAGATTTGAACTCAGGCATTCACTCACCAAATAATTTTTTGAATGCTTCCTTTTTGCCCCACACTGTTCTAAGCATTGGCTATATAGCAGTGAACAAGACAGACCAAAGACCCTGCCTGTCACAGAGCTTGAATTTTAGAGAGGGGCAGAGATAAAATAAACAAATAAATTGTAGGTGTACTAGTAATGGGGAAGATGGCAAATACCGGAACAGAGGAAGATGGGGGGACCTTACCCACATTTGCATCTATGAGATTTCTGATCACTACTTTCCAGTGAGTTCCTATAATGACAGCTAATGTGTACTGAGTACTTAATATGTGCCAGGCATTCTTCCAAGTGTGTCATGTGCCATAGTTCAAACACTCTTGCCACAATTTTTTGAGGCATTTTACAGATGAGAAAACTGAGCTTTAGAGAGATTGAGTAACTTTCTCTAAACTGCACAATTAGTAAAAGAGGGAAGAAACAGAATTTGAGTCCTAACAGTCTGTGCACTTAACTAATACACCAAACTGCCTTCTCAATTATATGTACTTTTCTATTGATTATTACCCTGTTTCCCCAAAAATAAGACAGTATCTTATATTAATTTTTGCTCCCAAAGATGCGCTAGGTCTTATTTTCAGGGGATGTCTTATTTTTCCATGAAGAAGAATATGGTACACATTTATTGTTAAATGAAAATAAAGGAAATTTATTACCTGTATTTGTAGGACAGTAGTTGTCAACAGAAACCAAACAAACTGTGAATCCTACAGTATCAAGAATTTACTCATTTATTCAATGACAATCATGTCATCATCTTCTGGAACATCACCATAACAATCCAATTCCTGAATTTCCTGGTGAATTTCTTGTGACTCGTAGGAGGACCTTATTTTCGGGGGGATGCCTTATATTTCTCTCAGAAGGAAACCTGTAAGTAGGTCTTATTTTTGGAGCATGTCTTATTTTTGGGGAAACATGGTACTTCTAGTCAATAATACCTCAACTGGACTACCTCTAAACATTCTTTAATTTCATTTTATTTCAATATGTTTTATTAATTTTTTACAGAGAAGAAGAGAGAAGGATAGAGAGTTAGAAACATCGATGAGAGAGAAACATTGATCAGCTGCCTCCTGTATACCCCCTACTGGGGATGTGCCCGCAATCAAGGTACATGCCCTTGGCCAGAATCGAACCTGGGACCCTTCAGTCCACAGGCCAACGCTCTATCCATTGAGCCAAACCAGTCAGGGCTAGCCATTCTTTTAGATGGTGAGAAATACTTCTTGTTGTTGGCACACCATAATTTATTTAGCATTCTATTGATGAATTTTCAATTTGTTTCCAGATTTTATCCCCTTCTGTAAATACTGTTGCAAAAAATACTTTCTGTTTATTCTGTTATGTGGTTATTTAACATAATGTCCTAGATTTTCAGTAGAAGGATTGCTGGATCAAAATGCATATACACTTTAAATTATGATAGATGTTTTCAGACTACTTTTTGAATGCTGTTACTCTTAATACTACCTGTATTAACTTCATTTCTGTCAATAATAATGAATATGCACATTTTCACTAACAATAGATATGATAGAATTGCCCTCTTTTGATTTGCTTGTCTCTTTTATTGTTCTTTTAACTTGCATTTCTCTAACTACTTATGATTTTTTCCTATTCATTTTTGTCCATTCATAGTTCTTCTGTAAATTATTTTCAGATCTTTTACTCATTTTCCTCTTGTATAATTTTATACCCTAATTGTCAGTACTTCAGATATCTTCGTTTGTTATACATATTCTGTCTTCTAAGTTGAAAAAATTCTCTCCTAAACATGTCATTTGTCTATTAACTATGTTTATGGCATATTGGTCATTTGAAAATTTTAAGTTTCTAAGCAGCAAATGAGTTCATCTTTTCTTTTTAGTCTTTGAGTTTTCATTCTTGATTACACAAATTTTCTTAACCCTATGACTGAGACTGTTTATGTAATTGCCCAGATATTTTTAGAAATCTCTAAGAGTTTTTGTTGTTGCTGTTAATCCTCACCCAAGGATATTTTCCCATTGATTTTTAGAGAGAGTGGGAGGAAGGAGGAGAGACTGACAGAGAGAAACATTAATGTGAGAGACTCATCAGTTGGTTGCTTCCTGCATGTACCCTGACTAGGGCCAAGGATCAAGCCTGCAACTGAGGTACATGCCCTTGACTAGGATTGGAATTGAACCCAGGACCCTTCAGGACATAGGCCAATGCTCTGTCCACTGAGCAAACCAACTAGAACTTGAAATCTCTAGGGATTTTAAAAGTCTTTCTTTCACATGTATTATAATTTTTAACATGAACCTTATTTGCCCATTCAATTGGCACCAGAATAATCTTTCCAGCAGACTTTCTTTTACAAATGTCTTCAATGATTCCTCATCTCCTGTAGGATTAACTCTAAGAACATGTGAGGCACTGTGTGATTTGACTCCTGCCTGACTCTGTATCCTGAATTAATTAAATACCCTTTTTGTGACGCCCTTTGACATCACAAACACAAAAATGTTTATAGTTTAAAAATGTTTATAGTGTGTCTTTGTGCCTAAGTCTCTGTGGTGCTTAATAGATACTGGCCTGGTTTCCCTAAAACAATTCACTGTCAGAATTTCACCTACCAATGGGAAGGGCCATGTCTAGCATCTCCATCATAGTGGATATTCTAAAATTTGTAGACTGAATTTGTTTTAAGCAATTGTGGTGAGAAAAGTGAACCCAGAAATGATCATCACAAAGGAAGTTTATATTCACGGATTTGTAGGAACAGGCGTATAGCACACCATGCAGGCCCACACAGGGAAGCCAGGATCAGTCAGGAGGCAGAAAGAAGGGGCAGAGGGAGGGCATGGCTCAGAGCCTTTATTTATTTATTTATTTATTTATTTATTTATTTATTTATTTATTTTGCAGGAAGGAATTGGTGAGTAACCTTAGGATTGGATAGTTTGAATAATTTTGGAAAGCTCTGAGCTATTGAGGTGGACCCAAGTTATCTGGGGGTGTTTTAGGGCAGACGCATATTGACTATTGTGTAAGAATTTGATAAATGAGGTGTTTGGGAGCATGGACTCTGGACTGTTGGTTGTATATCAAAGGCGTGTTCACAGGGAGTTGTTTGTTATCTCTAGGAATTAGCTATCCATGGGATCAAAGCCCCAAATGCCAGAGCAGCAAGAATATAGAAAAACAGAAAGTACAGTTAATATAGCAGGTAGCATGGTGCTGGGTGTTGTTACCTCACAAGAGGGTTTGTTTTACATGTTTCTGGCTCCCTACTCCCAGCTTTAACCACCATGTTTTATCCCTTTTAGGCGTTGTATAGAGTAGGTTTTTCTCCTACATAAAGGTGATGATTGCATTTTATCTTTCTTCTCTTCTGAATGTGAAATATTGCTATGTAGAATTATTACCACAGATAGTCAATTCAGGCTGACGTCACCTTCCGTCTACAGGAGGGTAAATTGTTTCTCCACGGTGATAAGTGCGGGTGCCTTGTTAGGAAGGTGCCTTTTCTGGAGGTCTTCTGCTTCATGTAATGACATGGGCTCTGCTGTTTTTCATGCTTAGCCTCGGACTTTTCCTTCAGATAGTGAGGGTAGCCCAGTTAGATGATTGCTAAGGTTCTCTCCCAACTCCAGAATTAATTATCCTAATGATCACTAAAGAACTGTGAGACCAGAATAAAATAAGAAAAGGTTAATCTTCTGGTAAGAGGCCTGACTTCTGGCAAATACCGTCACAAACATCCCTCAGTTACATTTTCGGATGGCATCTTGGGTAATTCAGGACATCCTCTGGGTAGTTTGATTTTAAGTGACTCACATGAGTCACACAGAAACGTTTGCTCCCTTGAGAAGCTAATTAAGACACTCCCTGCCTCAAACTGCTTTTCCATCTGTTTAGCTTTTGTAGAAAAATGATGAAGAAATTATTATGTCACAGGAAGACTTGATTTTTACCCCCTATTTTCCAGTTGACATCTCCAAGCAAAATGAGTTAAATATAAAAATGGAAAGCATGTTGGATTTTTAAGAACTGTGTACTGGGAAAAATTGAAGCAACAGTTTTATAGCTTTCTTTTTATGACACACTTTCATGAACATCAGCCATTCCAAGTTTTGTACTTAGCTTTTGGTGTTGTCTATTTCCTTATGATTTGACATACCTGTCCAATATTCTTCTCACAATGTACCTTTCTTTCTAATTAAACTATTCTGTTCTTTGTTCCAGAAACAAAGCATAATGCGGTTCATTTCTACTTCCATGAATTTTGTGTTTCTAGAATGTCCTTTTTGTTTCCTTTCACCACATATAAATATGTCTGTTTTAAAACCCTTTCTTACTTCTACATACCACACTGGTTTCTCTTTCTTCTGAAAACTCTAAGGACTTACAGCCAATAAGTTAAAGATTCTTCCTATGTTGCACTTTCTTCCCAGTGTGATTGTAGTGCCTTGAGAGAAGAAACCATATCTAACATTTCTTCCCCATCTTTTATAGAATTTAGTCTATTGTAGTGGTTAATAAATATTAGTTTATTAGCATTTCTTTTCTTGGGGTATGTATTTTTCTTTAATTGTTCAAGATTCAGAAAATCCAATTAAATTTCATAAATGTTTTTTATTTTTACTCCATACTGAGAGCTGAAGTGAAAATAAAAAGAGAAAGCCTTGGTCCCTGTTTTTCACATGTTTACAATCTAGTAGGGATAAGGATAAGGGATGGGTAGCTTGAGGGAAGTGGGGGACAGCTTTGTACATAATTAATTTCAATAGATTGTAGACTGCTGTAACAGAAAGGCAAGGGCTATGACTCAAAAGTAACAGCAGAGGCTCCTCTGGGAAAACAGTAACTGGGCAGAAGCAGTAAAACTAAAATAGTTTCTTAAAACTTTCCTCAGCCTGTCTTTTGGACCATAAATATGGCTCCTATTCTTGATGTAATATTGTAGAAAATTCTGCTATATCCATAATCTTAATTTAAGGCAAAAGAAAATACCATAATATAGGTAAACTTAGTCTTTTGTCATGTGTATCTAATTTTCACTTTTAAAGTTCAATGAGATGATAATTGATAATCATAAATAATAACAAATCAACAAGACATCAAAACAGTCACAGATGTACCAAACAGAGATGATTTAAAAAAATTCTTTATTGTTTCAAGTATTGCATATAGTATTACATATGTCTTCTTTTCCCCCATTGGCCTCTCCCTGGCCACCTGCACCCCCAGCATATGCCCTCCACCTCCATCCCCCAGCACATGCTCCCCTAGTATCTGTGTCCACTGGTTATGAAGGTGATTTTTAATTATTTTAAGAATAGTGTGGGCAAGGACTATTTGCTTAAGGCTAAATTATTTGGAATGCTTTGCAGCGAGAGTGATTTTTCTCTTATCTAAGATATGAACTTAAAAGGATTTCCCCCCGAGAGTACTATACTTTTATGTAAAAGAGTTAAGTGATAGGTTGACATGGATTTTTGGAAAAATGTCAGAATATGACCACAGTGCAGAACATGTTCAGCTTAATGTCTATTTCTTGAATGTGGACAATTTAATGGATGATCACTGAGGTTCACAGGTAAGTTTTGAATTGGCAACAAAGACTGAGCTATATTTGGCATGCTTCTGGAGGTCTGTATTTCACTGGCCATCTAATAATGATCACTGTGGAAAGCTGAGAATGGTCAGGTTCCTCCATGAATGCTTGATGAAAGAGGCACGATTGGAAGTCAGAGACTCAAGGTTCCTGAGTTAGGTTTATCACCTCATACCTGTGGTCGCATTGGAAAAGTAAGAGGATTGAACTTGAGAATTTTATTCTTTATATTTGTCTTTATAATTTATACTGTAACTTCTTCCTGTAGGATTTCAAGGGTATTTCTAATATGCAGAAGTCTAGTTCACAAAACAAAACAAATAAAACATGTAGAGATCAGAAATAGTATAAAGTTAAAAATAAGTGGCAAAATGACTAACTCTCACTCAAGCACAAGACACCCTACAGTAGTGTCGCAAACCCTAAAATGTCTAAAGAGACGAGGCAGGAGTTCCAGTTTTATGCTGCATAAAAATCTTCTCTAAACTCAGTGGCTTTAAAGCCAGAACCATTATTGCACCATTTGTAGGGCAAGGTTTGGACTGAGCGAGTCTTCTGGCCACATGATGTGGATGGAGCTAGCCCAAGTGCTACTCAGCTGGCTGATGCACTGATCTGGAAGCTTCATTACAGCTTGCCTCATGTGCTGGGCTCTGGGCAGGAATGATTATATCTGGGCTCCACTGCCACAGCGACTGCAAAGCCTACACGTGGCCTGTCCAGCATGACAGCCTCAGTCTAATGTGGTAACTCAGAGCCTCCAAAGAGTGTGCTCTGAGAGACCTGGATGGAGTTGGCAAAGTTTCCTATGACCAGGCCTATTATTAGTCATCACTTCCAGTGGGTTCTCCAGGTGAGGAAGTAACTGAGGCCAGGATTCACAGGGAAGTGAATAAAACTCCAGCTCTCAAAGGTACAAAAAGTAAAGAATCTGTGTCCATTTAAAATATGATTTTTCTTTCTTTTTAGAATTCATAGTAAAATACTCATAACACAAAATTTACCTTAACACTTTAAAGTATACTGTTCAGTGGTATTAAGTACATTCACACTGTCGTGCAACCATCACCACATTCAATCTTCATAACTCTTTTTATCTTGCAAAAGCCCATAAAGGATTTGTCCTTTTATGTTTGCTTTATTTCACTTAGCCTAATGTTCTCATGGTTCATTTGTGTTGTAACATGTGTCAGAATTTTTTTTGCCTTTTAAAGGCTGAATAGCATTTCATTGTCTGCATATACTACCTCTTGTTTGTCTATTCACCTATCAGTGGACACTTGGGTTGTTTCAACATTTTAGCTATTGTGAAAAGTGCTGCTATAAATACAGGTGTGCAATTGTGGGCACTTTTTATCTCGTAGAACAGAGGACATCAATGAGGGAATGGGCTGGAAATAAGGAAAAATCCAATAAAACCACAGTGAAAATGGCTCAGCCTCAGTGTCAATGAGACAAGTGGGATTGGAAGGGCCTGAGGAGTTGGGACTATGGGATATGTTTGGATCTGATCTAAAGAAGCAGCCAGCACTAGAGCCAGCAACTCCTGATCATGCAGACATGCATAGCTAGAGTAGTCCCACTTTGTGTTTCAGGAAAAATGGGCATTATGGATTTTTATGCAATCTTTTCTAATTTTTAAATGTCACCAAAACTTAAATATTGTGCAAGTCAAATAAAAAAGTCTATGAGCTGTATAATTTGAGATCTCTTCCTAAAACACACCAATATATAATGATGGATATCAGGGCCTTATCTATTCAAATAGTGTAGACTAGGGATCAACAAACTTTTTCTTGAAGGAGTAGGTACAGCTCTTATCAGAATCTTTTAGGATAAATTTAATTAGCATAAGTCTTCCTTTTTTTTGGTTCTAAATCCCCAAGTACTTTTTAGAGCTCAGTATTGATTTTCATTTTACAATAATGTGATTATACTCCAAATGGGAAAGTCAGGATTATAGTGTCTTTAAGTGGGTATTGAAATTAATTTGAAAAATGAGAACTTCTTTAGGCATGCTTTGATTTTTTATCAATTTGGTGATTCTATAAATGTGACCTAAATGTTTATAACAGAAAAATATTATATACTTTATATACTTCTAAAGTTTCAATAACTCATTAAAGAACTTAAGTAGTGCATAGTGTCTGTTAAATTGGAAATATTAACTGTGTGCATTTGTTAAAGTTAGGCCAAAAGATTTGTTCCTATGTGATAAACTGGTTATTCAACTATGGTTGTCTTACAAGTGGAAGGAGTAAAAAGTGGTAAAGTCAGGAAAGACAAGGACAGAAGTAAAGAATTACATGCCAAACTGTCCCAAATTGAAGGCTATTTCTCTTATGGAAAAAAATCCCCACTTTTTCCCCAAATGGCTGAATCATAGTTTCACACATCATTGAAAATACTGTGTTTTAATTCCAACAGAAAACCAAACCTTTGATGACAGAATTCTCGGTGAAGTCTACCATTATTTCTCGCTATGCCTTCACTACGGTTTCCTGCAGAATGCTGAATAGAGCTTCTGAGGACCAAGAAATTGAGTTTCTGATGCAGATTCCAGCCGCAGCTTTCATCACCAACTTTACTATGTAGGTGACATGGTCAGAGCGTCTGGATTGAAGATTTCTGTGTAGGGGTGGACAGGCTGAGCCTGAGCTGATGTGTGGCCCACAGCCTTTGATCTGTGAGAATTTATTTCCCAGTGGATGATACATGGGCCAGAAGGTTGATTCCCTTTTTTCTTTCTCCCCCCCTTCCTTCTTTCCCTTCTTTCTTCTTCCCTCTCTCTCTTCCTTTCTTCCACCTTTCCATGACCTCTTCTTTTCCTCTTTCTTTCTCTCCTTCATTCCAACAAATGAGTATCCACTCTGGGCCAGGCCCTCTTCAAGATGATTGTCCACATCTATGAAAGAGATAACGCTGCTCTGCACTAGAAATTTTATAATAATAAGTAAACAAATCAATACATAAGAAAATTTCAGACAGTAGCAAATGCTATAAAGAAAGCAAACAGAATTGAGAGGGGCTGGTATAGGTAGGAAAATCAGGGAGATGGCTCAGAAGAGGCGATGTTTAAGTTGAGATCTGAAAGACAAGATAGCATGAAACGTTGGCTATGTTAGATATAGTTCTTCTTTTCCCAGTGGATGGTAAAGATATGCAGAAGAGGGAGGTGTTTGGTTTGAATGTTAGGCCTGGGCCTAAATTTCACATTTATAGATTCAAGCTGATGGATTATCATTGAAGTTTGTCTGAGCAGATCTTCTGATTTTTTCCAGAAGAATCACAGAGGCACCTCGAGTTGTGTCTTAACATTTGTACCTGTTGAAAATTGCCCTAGAATGAAACGAATGATTCAAGGGTGGTGCCCTGGGTTGGAATGCAGCTTTTGCATATCCAAGAGACAAATAAAAATATTTTTTTACTGTTGTCATGGTTATGAGATCCATGCATTTGTCTTGGAACTGCAAGCTGCTAACACAGCTGTCTTTTACTTTCAGGCTAATTGGAGACACAGTGTATCAGGGAGAAATTACAGAGAGAGAAAAGAAAAATGGTAATAAAGTAAAAGAGGAAAGGAATAAAACCACAGAAGATAATGGGTGAGTACTGTTAATTAACAAATTACAAATTCACTGTAGCAAAGTGTCAAATTTTCTACCTTTTTGCTTAGCCATCTTGAGCTCTTTCTTCCTTATTTTCTTATTTATAATAATAATTCACTTGGTTAACAGCATAATAAATAAGGATTTATAGTAAAAAAGAATATTTTAGCACTCCCACTTCCTAGAAACATCCACTTCTACTGTTTCTGTATTTTTTTAATCTCCATAACTCTAAATATTATTATAGTCTTGATTTTTACAAATTTCTTGATAAAAATCAGATATTATTTATTGAATCTAAATGTGAAATCATAGGATTTCAATTACAATGCTTCCATTCTCCCTCTGTGTTCCAAATATTTACATTATTAGTCTTTCTTCTTACATCCATTTTAGCAGTTACACCATCTTAGTCTAGCCCTACAATCTTCAGTAATAATCTCCCTCCTGCATTTTATCCTTTTCTGTTTTCATTCCCAGCACCCATCTTTTCTTATCTAATAATTTACTTTTTCATTGTCAGAGTTACTAACATTTAAATTCTAATCTGTCACAATATTTGTATTTTTTGTTTTATCTATAAACTGAACCTAAACATTGAAAACCCAGAAGTAGCATCTACTTTTAATAATACATAAATAACATTAACTGTAGAGCCATCAAGTATACTAAGATTCTATTTCCCTCTCCACCAGCCTGTTTGGAGAAAAGTCATCTTTGTATCTAGACAAAACATTGTGAACATGTAAGCTTGCATTTTGTTCATTAATAAAAGGATGTAGCTTTGAGAAAGTTTGTTCTCTAAATTCATAGACGGTCAGAAACTTTGCTGTTGGAAATCCTACTATTAAGAATGTAACATGTGAGTCATGGGTTCATTTTGTTAGTGAAAAGCAACCAAGGTCCACAGTTTCAGATAAGGGGTTGTTGGCCACAACAGTCCACATTTATCTTAATTTTGTAGCTCCTTAGGACAAAGAATCTTGAGTTTACTTCTCAATTCAGGCTGATATTAAATGTTTTACACAAAGCCCTGCTTTTCTTTGAGCTTCCAAACACTGCTTCATTTACCCACATTCCACCCTTCCCCCATTCCTATAATCACCCTGTGTCTTTCTTTCTTTGGCAAAATGTTCTAGGATGCGTCTGGTATGTAATACCCTTGCCACAGCAGATTATTAAAAACTGTTGAATATAATAGAATCAGAGGTACGGAAGGGGAGTGAACTGACGATTCTTGGGGAAAAGGGGAGAGGGGGATGTGGAAAGAGACTGAACATAAACTGTGCACCTATGGATGAGGACAATAGGGGGGTGGGGAAAGGGCAGAGGGTGGGGTGGGAACCTGGTGGAGGAGAGCAATGGAGGGGAGGGGGGAAAAAGGAACATTTGTAATAATATGAACAATAAATATTTTTTTTTTTAAAAAAGCAATACACTTTTATTGAATTTATTGGGGTGATACGGGTTCACAGAATTATACAGCTTTCAGGTGCACAATTCTATACCACATCATCTGTACATCGTATTGTGTGTTCACCACCCCAAATGGTCTTATCAGGATTGCCTTTTCTTATAACTCACAGATCATTCAGAATCATGCAATAGTTTAGTTTAGTTGGATCAAGATCTACACATTTCTATTTTTTCCTGGAGTTTCTAGTTGATTTTCTTATGAGATAAAATTTAATTTTGTCACAATTAACATCTAGCAAGACACATAACTCATTGGAAATGGTAAGTGAACAATTATGACCAAGATTTGACAAGCAGTGAATCCATGTCATTGTCAACAGCAACTTGAAGGCTTCACTAATTGGGAGACACATCTTGATTCCTGAGCTGTTAAACATGACAGAATAGGTGTCTCCAGACTATGGAACACTGTCACATAATATTTTCCTTGTCACATAACATCTTTTTATTTTTACCTGGGCTGATTTTTTAACTTCTTATATTCCATAATATCTTGCTTTTTCACCTTCCACTTTGCTCAAGTGTATTCTGTAGTAACTTACTCAAAATGAGTGTGTGAGAAACATACTTTCTGAGACCTTGATTAAAGTGCTAACTGTGCATGGAATTTAAGATTCAGAATAATTTACCAATGAACTTTAAAGACATTGTTCCAGTGCCTCACAACATCCAGTATTACTGATAATGCATTTAATGTGGTCTAACGCCATTCCTTTTGTTTTCTCTACCTGATACTCTGATATTTTACAATAATGGGTTTAAGTGTCAGGCTTTTGTTTTCCATTCTAATTAGCTTTCAATAAAAGTTTACAATTTTTGTCTCTTTTCAGCTCTGGGAAAGAGGAGTGTAGGAACCCCATCATCTTAGTCATTCATTCAATTATATGTAAACTTGGAGTTCTCCTCCCTGTGTTTGGCCCCCTTCTCACTCTCATCTTGTCGTGTCCTGTTGAATCAGAACCTGGGGTCTCTGAGATTCTGCAGATGCTGTTTTTTTCTACTTTGCTGCAGTCCCTTCATGCACAGTCTGAGCTGTAGAGTTCTTGTTCTATGGGATTTCCCAAGTCTCCCATAAATGATTTGAAATACTCACTGATGGTTGTCTCTACCACCCTTATTTCTTTGGTTTACTCTTCCTGTTGTGGTCAGTCTGCCATATTGAATCAGAGAACTCTCACTCCAAGTAATGAAAGCATTTAAAATGATTTGTATTTTTAAAAAAAATATATTTTATTGATTTTGTACAGAGAGGAAGGGAGAGAGATAGGAAGCTAGACACATCGATGAAAGAGTCATCGATCAGCTGCCTCTTGCACACTCCCCACTGGGGATATGCCCGCAACCAAGGTACATGCCCTTGACCGGAATCGAACCTGGGTCCCTTCAGTCCCCAAGCCGATGCTCTATCCATTGAGCCAAACCGGTCTCGGCAAAAATGATTTGTATTTTTATATGCTTTGCGATACTTTACTTTTTACCCTTCCCTTAAGCATATCCATCAAACCTTAACAAAATGTAAAAACCTTATAAATTAGCTATTTTTTAAAGACATATACACAGATAACTTTTTTTTAAAAAAAAGTGTTTGTTTGTTTTTTGAGGAAGGGAGATGGACAGGAAGAGATAGAAACATCAGTAAGAATCATTGATGGTCTGCCCCTTGCATGCCCACTATGGGGATCAAACACAAAACTCCAGGCATATACCCTGACTGGGAATCAAACTGTGACCTCCTGGCTCATGGGACAACGCTCAACTACGGAGCCATGCCGGCCAGGCTAAATTAGCTATTTTAAAGTTATATAAAATGTCTGGTTTATTTGGCCATCCTTCAAAAAAGAGAATGCAATTTACATCTTGACCCCAAACTCTCTTTCCAGCAGTTCACCTATTACAGCATCCCCTTCTCCCTTTGGCCCCTTGGGTCTGACTCAGGAAGAGGGAGGTGAGTTCAGTAGTGTATGAATCCTCTACTCTTAGTATCCTTTGGACCTTTGCAAACTTCATCTGGCACAAGCCTTTACTCCTTCCCCACCCCCTGTGCTAATTTTTACTTTTAGTTTGTAAGGACTGCTACAGTTTGACCTGTGCCCCAAGGAATCTGGCTTTCTCCGACCCACTATTCCTTTCCCCTTGCACACAGGGAGAAGGGGACTGAAACGTTCAGAGCCTCCGGGGTCATTCCCAGCAAGGACAAAGCTGTCTTCCTCCTGAGTTATGAAGAGCTCTTGCAGAGGCGGCTTGGGAAGTATGAGCACGTCATCAGTGTGCGACCCCAGCAACTGGTGGGGAGGCTGACAGTGGAAGTGAATATTCTGGAGAGTTCGGGCATCAAGTCTCTGGAGGTGCTGCCTCTACACAACAGTAGGCAGAAGGGCAGCGGAAGGGCGGAAGGTGAGTGGTGCTTGCTAGACACGTGCTGGGATAATGGGGAGCTGGGCGTTGGCTTTAGAAAAATCTGTAAACCAGATGGCATCCTTTCAACAAAGGCTCTGAGTGTTTTTGGGGAATCTAAATGAGTGCAACAAAGCAAAGACAGTGCCCTGAACAATCTTTTTGTAAGCTCAGGTTTATCCAGAGAGTTAAAAATGTTTCAATTATTTAACACAGTAATCTCACTTCTGGGAACTTAACCTAGGTGAAACACCTAAAATATTGGTAATGTTATATGCATGAACCTGTTTGATAATTTGTAGTAGCAAAAACATTCTGTCACCCTGAATATTCAATCATACAGGCGTCATAAGTAAAATATGGTTATAAACACAATTGAGCATGTTACAGAGAAGAAAAGACACAGTTGTACATACACTATAATGTTAAATATGATAACTTTGTTAAATACAAATATGACAAAAGACCAAGAAGTTATATGAAATAATTATTTTATACTAGAGGTGAGGGTTTATAGGGTCATTTTCTAAAAAACTGTTTTAAAACTAATAATTTATATTAAATAATCACTTGTGTTTTACACTATAATACCAGTACGGCTTGGACAGATGGGTCCAAAAATGGCAGCAGAGCTCTGGCCGGAGTGGCCCAGTTGGTTGGGTATTGTCCCACGCACTGAAAAGGTTGCTGATTTGATTTCCAGTCAGTGTACATGCCCTGGTTGTGGGCTCCATCCCCAATTAGGGTTGTATAGAGGCAGCTGATTAATGTTTCTCTCTCACATCAATGTTTTTCTCTCTTCTCCTCCCGCCCTCCTCTAAAATTCAATACAAAATCTTTTTTTAAAAATATATTCTTATTGATTTCAGATAGGAAGGGAGAAAGAGATAGAAACATAAACGTTGAGGCACTAGTTGGTTAGCTCAGTGGATAGAGCTTTGACCTGTAGACCAAAGAGTCCTGGGTTTGATTCCAGTTAAGGGCACATACCTTGGTTGCAGTCTCCTCCCCAGCCCAAGCCCTAGTCAGGGTATGTGGCAGAGGCAACCAATCGATGTGTTTCTTTCACATCGATGTTTCTCTGTCTTTCTGTCTCTCTTCCACTCTTCCTAAAAATTAATGCAAAAACAAAAACAAAAACAAAACAACCCACAAAAGAAAAGAAAAGAAATATCAATGATGAAAAAGAATAATTGATCATCTGCCTCCTGCACTCCCCCTACAGGGGATCAAACCCATAACCAAATACTGTACATGCCCTTCACGGGAATTGGAGTTGGGTCCCTTCAGTCTGCAAGATAACAGTATCCACTGAGCCAAACTGGCTAGGGCTCAATAAAAAAAGCTTTTTTAAAAATTGCACTAGAGTCAGAATGACAAGATCATTGTGACCTTGAGATCAGAGAAATGCTAAGTAATAAGTGAATATGCAGAATCTTAATTCAGTCTCTGTGATTGCAAGGAAAGTGGCCCAAGATATAAGAATATTTAGGGGTGAAATTGGCAGGAGGCTTGGCAAATGACTTGATAAGTGGAATACATTTAACACAATGAAAATAACCATATGAGAAGTAGTTTACTCCCAAACACTGGAGTGTGTCCTGGTCTATAGGGGGACTCGGGTCTTTTGTTATATGTTGACTCCCAACATTGAGTTTGACACTCTCAATTCAGATCTAATTAAAACTTTAAAATATTGTCAAGGTATCTGACATTCAGAAATGGCATCAGATACAATACACTATTCTTATGTCATATAGGCGGCTGTGTGTATGGTTAATGGATTCTAGTTGTTATTAACTATAACCTTGGCAAAAAATTACCTGGGCCCTGTAAGACTCGGCTTGAGCATCCGCAAATCATGGGTGATAACTTCTCATAGGGTCATTGGAACTGTTAGTGTGTGTGAAGTGCCTGGCCGAGAGTAAGAGCTTAAGAATTGTTAAGTATTGTCATTACTATTATCATCTTATATTTATTTTCTTTGCAAATCTTACCACTTTTATTAGCTCATAAGTGTGATTTTGGAGGCAGGTCTTTGTCTGATTAGCTTTTATCTCCTTAAAATGCCTTTTATTTTTTATTTTATTTTTTTTCAAGTATATTTGCTTTAATGTTTTTACATACTTCATGAGCAACCAAAAAACAAACAAAAAACAGACCACAAAAAATATCCTTTTTATTTTAAGAAGTTTATGAGAAGCATAGTTTCTAAAAAATGATTTGAAGTCTAATTTTCTCCACTGTGAGCTCAATGACCACAGTCAAGTCAAGAGCTGGAACGTCCATGGTATTGAGAGCCCTCTGTGCACACACACAGTGATTCAGGCTTAAAGGGGAGGGAATGAGGTAAGATCACATGGTGACATCCTGGTAACCCTTTTTTCATGGTCTTTAGAGAGTAGATAGCTAAGTAAGGAAATTAGAGAATAAAAACAAATATATGTATTTTATATATATAATTACACCAGAGTCAGAATAACAAAATCATTGTGACATTGAGATCAGAGAAATTTAACAAAGAATGTTCTTAAATTTCATTGCTTCCTAATTATAATTTATAGGGATACTTTTTTTTTTTTTTAATGTATAACTGTGTTTCCACAGGGAAGATTCTTTGAGAGTTTGTAGGCTCTGAGAGGGTAGAGCAGCTGTGCTGTGTGTCTGGGGTGAATGCCCAGAACTCAATAGCTGTGTCCAGGCCTCCAGTAGGGGATTCTGAGGGTCCTGCTACAGTGATGAGATGTATGTGTGTTTTGCCTACTTTTCAGAACCACTGTGACTCATCAGAGATGTGCGCAAGTGTTGTGTGTGTGTTATGTTTGGAGGGTATGAATCACAATTGTTGGCCTGAAAAATTGCTTACTGTTTACATTCACAGGGCCTGAGAGGAATTTTTCCAGACCATTGATCTCTTGGGACCTGTTTATTTTTTAAAAAATTGTTTTCCTAGCACGTTGTAGCAGAGCAATTACTTTCCCTACAGAGCATGAAGGTTTCATAGGCATTTACCCAGGCCAGGTGCAGAGGATGAGGAGCCTTTTTGCTCCTCATTCCCATCTTTCAGAACTCAGCTGTTATTGTTTCTGCAAAATGGCAGCCTCAGCTGGAGAGGCACAGATGTTGCGATTTTTGTCTGGACACTTGCGTGTTTCCAAAAGAAATCCAGGGTAGAGATCAAACTAGGTTTGGCCTTGCACCAACATGAGTTGTCATTACATGAATGTGAACCCAAGCCAGTACATTCCTCAGATGGAGCTGGTTGTGTTCAGAAGTCAGACTTTTGGAATTTCTCGAAGCAAATCTCAGACCACTGGACCCATTTTCATCTTTAGGGAAGCAATTCTAGATAAGGACTTCTGTGTGCTAGAATCTAGACTCAGCACTTTGCATGTATCATTATCTCGTTCAGCCTTTATAACTACCCTCTTAGGGAGTTTTTGTAAAATACTAAGGGTGTGAGTTTAAATTCCCAGTCTCTCCCTAGTTATATAAAAATGCAATACAAGGCTAAAAGCAATATCACCTATTTTCACCTCAGTTTACTTTTCTGGTATATCAGGATTGGGCTCATGGCTACTGTATTATCAATGAATGGGCTTCTTCTCAGTCTGTAAGCTAATTCTGTGAGATGTAATTTGGATGCCAAAGTGTTATACTTTCTGGGTTATTAATAAGTATAATTCATGGTTCAGAATCTAAAAGATGACAAGCTAGTGAAAAGCAAGACTCTCTCTCCTATCCCCTTACCCCCAGTTCCTCTCCCCTAAAATATTTTGATTATTTATGGGTTTGATGGAAAGAGTATTTGAAATTCAGACTTTCTTAGAACATGCTTGGGCTATGTTATCATCCGAAAGCATACTCCAGTATAGATATTCCATCTATGTGACTGGTTCAAGGCTGGTTATTTCACTCTCTATGTTAAAATTTTAAACTTTCTATTGTTTCATGGCCTCCAAATTACTGACATTTCCCTGATTTTATATATATATATATATATAATGTATGAATTTATTATATATATAATTTATTTTATATATATAATTTATTTTATTTTTTTTTGACAGAAAATTTTCATTTGTGATAAAATCCCTAAGGGATAGGATTAAAATAAAATGAAGTAAAGAAATAAGGTATCTTGCCTGTTTTATTCCTTTTTGTTTTACTTCAGTGACTCTCAAACTTGGCTATACTTTTATTGTCACCTGGAGAAATTATAAAAAGAAAGAAATGCAGATGACTTGAATTAGAACTTGTTAGGGTAAGGCTTAGGTAGCTGTATTTTGGGGTGTGATAATCTATTAATTTATATGAGAAATTAAGAATTTATATACAGAAGCTATATGAGACCCTAGCTGGTTTGGCTCAGTAGATAGAACCTCAGAACTGAAGGTCCCAGGTTCAATTCCAGTCAAGGACTTAATCCCCAGTAGGGGCATGCAGGAGGTAGCTGATCAGTGATCCTCTCTTATCAATGATGTTTCTCTCTCTCTCTCCCTCTCTGAAATCAATAAAAATATCTTTTTAAATTGCTTTAAAAAAAGAAACTACATGAGTGATTTTAACATTTTAACTTACTTGTAAAGCTAAAGTAATGCTGAATATTTTCATCTTCCACTAACCATAGAACATGCTTGGGCTATGTTATCATCCGAAAGCATACTCCAGTATAGATATTCCATCTATGTGACTGGTTCAAGGCTGGTTATTTCACTCTCTATGTTAAAATTTTAAACTTTCTATTGTTTCATGGCCTCCAAATTACTGACATTTCCCTGATTTTATATATATATATATATATATATATATATATATATATATGTAATGTATAAATTTATTTTATATATATAATTTATTAAAAAAAAAACTCACACCCTTAGTATTTTACAAAAACTCCCTAAGAGGGTAGTTATAAAGGCTGAACGAGATAATGATACATGCAAAGTGCTGAGTCTAGCACACAGAAGTCCTTATCTAGAATTGCATATAGAATAAAG